ACGGACAGACGGACAGACGGACAGACAGACGGACAGGGCCAAATCAACTCAGCTCGTCACCCTGATCAAGAATATATATACTTTGTGGGGTCTGCCACGCCTCCTTCTCCCTGTTACATACATTTCAACAAAACCATTATACCCTGATTTCCCATTGAAAATGGGTTCAGGGTATAAAAAGTATAAATATATTATATTATCTTATGTCCTTATGAGAGTAATAGAGATTTTCGCTACTCAAGAACTCCAAAAACAAGTCGTAATAACCTTCAAGAGATATTGATAAGTTCCGTTAAAGATGACAGACTGTGCTTATTAATAAGTCTGGAAGATCTCTTTTCGCGCGCATATCGAGTCGGATAATATTAAGGCTTAGCTGTGAAGAACAGTGACAACTGACAAAATTAGCTAAGAGCTCACTAGATATTTGGTATCCTATACTCTCCCCACTGTATATAGCGAGTATAAGCAGAATATTGAAATAATATAATATTAAAATCAATCCATAAATAAATATGATCTTTATCTTACTCTGCAGGATCACTAGATCTGTCGGATTTGTTTCGTGGCAATCAGGAGCAGCCGAACATAATGATTGCCACCTGGGACGCTGACACCCTAAACACACCTATCCATTTGCCAGGTGACCTGGAACCATTGAAGCCCGCCGAAGAAGAAAGTGCAGTCGAGTGCGCGAAAGAGGGACAGAATTGTACGGCAGGTCTAGCTGTGCCGCCCAAGCGAAAGAGGGCGCCTCGCAAGGCAGCGGCCAAATCAGGAGACAGTGCGAAAGGAGAGCGCAGCAGGACGCCAAAGTCGCTATGTCCGTGCACTGAGTGCGAGAAGAAGTTCACGCGTAACTTTCAACTGAAGCTGCACATGATATCGGTGCATGGGCTGGGCGATGGGCTGCGCTACAAGTGCGAGGTGTGCGCGAAGAGCTTCGCATCGCGGCACAGCCTGCGCTATCATTTCACATCGCTGCACTCCACCGAGCGACCGTTTGTCTGCGAGCTGTGCGATCGACGGTTCGTGCTGCGCACCCAACTGATCTCGCATGCCCGTATGCACACGGGCGAAACGAAGCCGCGCATCTTCGACTGCACCGTGTGCGGCAAGACGTGGCCAACGAAATCGGATCTGCGCACCCATATGCGCTCCCACGATCCGGACATGTCCAAGCGACCCTACAAGTGTGATAAGTGCAACAAGGCCTTCTTCACGCGGGGCCACCTGAACTCTCACCACCTGGTGCACACCGGCGAAAAGCCCTACGCCTGCACCTACTGCGACAAGTCCTACCAGAGCGTTGGCAATCTAAACAATCACACATTGAGGCAGCACTCGAGTCTGATTGAGACGCAGATGAATCTGAAGTACGGCGACCTTGAGAGCTAAGCTCGTTGCCATTAGTTTCCCTTTAAAAAACAATCATGTTTCCTCCTACTAGAAACTCAGCTATTGTCTAAGGAATCGTACATCATAGTTTCTACATAATAATTAGAATTTGAACTTATTTTGCAACTATATTTTGTTAATTGAAATCTGTGAACTTTGACAAGTGATGCAATTTGTAACTATCTGTCTGTAGGCCGGGTAGAAGTATTAGATTTTTCAACACAAACATGCAAATAATATTTATAAATTCAAATATATAAGAATGTGAATGCACATATGTATGTATAAATAATTGCTAATAAATATATGTATATACAAATATATATACATTACATGTTTCAAAACTATTAAGTAACAAAAATATGTTAAATTATTTATTAGGCATAATCAAATTACATATTTATCATTCAAATCAAAAATAAAGCAAAATAAATCAATTGAAATTTCTATTTTTAATCATTATTAAATTGTTTTAAGTATTTCACAACATCAAAATAAATTTAGAAATGACTATGAATATATACATACATATATATGATTGAATTTTGGTTGTTTGATGGAAGCTTTCGTTTAAAATCTTATGAAACGCCGCTCTTATCGCTCATAAAACATCTTTGTATACTTTTCTATAATCAATATGTATATTTCTCTATATGTACATCATTAATTTTAAGTACGAAAATAAAATATGCCATACAATAATTATAAATAAAAATTAAAAGTAAATAATTGCCATAGATTATGCAAAAAAAATCAGAACAAATTAATAAATAAATATATAAAAGTGACCGTTAAGAAAGCGCAAGTAATGTTCCAGCAATTTCGCAAAAATTTGTTTGCTTGTATTTTTTCGCTTTACTTATCACTCATAATACTCTATAGCCTCTATAGTCTCGGAGGCTCATTGACTATATTAAAAATGTTTAAGAAACATTTTCATATTTCGTTTTCTTCTATACGTTGAGATCTCGATGTGCATTACTCTTTTGTATTCCGATTAAGTGAACAAATTGTCCACATTAGATATAATAGTCGCTTATAATCCTCTAATATATGTATTTTATATAATATTTCTAAAAATTCTTTTGGTGGTGTTTCCTATCAAAATAATAATAATTAATTTCCGTTAACATTCTTTATTGTTTTACAATATATTTTGAAACGTAATCATAAGTTTTGGAGGTGCTTAATCTCCTACATTTCACTGTTCATTTACTTGTAGACATCTTAAAGATTATAAAAATAAATACTTATTCCAGATTGTTCAATAGTATAAGCCTTAAAATATTTTCCACTTAGTGAAGTGCGAAAATAATGATTATTGAATCAATTTATTTTAATGTTTTTGGAGCGTAAGCAATCAAATTATAATAATAATAATATATTACTAATAAAATGACACTAAATTTCCGCATTATCTTAGCTCAAACGCCGCTTTAAAATAAAACTTATCAGCACGGAAAATGCCCAAGCTCAATAGAATATTTATAGAGCATACTGAGTACGACTGCCTTCATTGAGCTTCGAGAGCCCAGTATACCTATACCTATATGCATTTTTTATTATACCCTGAGTTCATTAAAAATGGGGAACTCAGACTATGATGGGCTTGTGGAAGAAGGCGTGGCAGTCCCCATATAATGTTTATGCTCATACACACTTTGAGCTCGTGTCGATCTCAGTCTGTCTGTCTATCTGTCCTTCTGTATGAACTCGGCTACCTATTCATAAAATTTTACTCCAGTCATAACCCACGCAGCCATTAACATTTTTTCGTTAGTTCTTTATTATCAAAACATTATTTTTCTTTTACGTAACTTTAAAACCAAATAAATGTAAAGAGATATTTCGAATTTCGGATGCGCTTATCAGCTTATCAACTTTTCAGGGGTATCAGGGTATTTTATAGTCGAGCACTCTCGACGAGAGCACTCTTGTTAAAATATGTACATATACAAATATATATACATAGAATAGTATGTATAGCGTACCCGCTAAATAGATGTATATATACATATGCCGGTTCCACTATCAACGCCTTTAATCAAAACAAGTGCCTGGCAGTCTGATCGTAAACAAGCAAAGACGAGGCATCCAGAGCATCCAGAGAAGACACGGCCCATTCACTTGCAAAGACAATTTTCATTGGTTTCAATTACAAAATGACCAGAGAATAACAACAGCAGCATGACGACAACAACTACAACAATGGAAAATGGCACAGGAACGAGACATGTCATAATTATGAGCCAGAGAAAGTGTTAATCCAATTAACTTTGATTTAACACCGGGAAGTGACCGCCGTCGAATGGCCTAGGTCAGCGATTCGTATAGCCAGGAATGCGTAGAAGACGATAGCTCGAGAGCTCTTTCCACTGACTCACTGTCGATAAGATGAGATGGGCATTCCGATAGCCTTGTCACCCTCGACTGCGGGGCTAATCACCAAGTTTATCTCGCTGGACATTTCTCTAAAGTGTTTACTTGTATGCCCCTTCACAGACTCGCATATTAGTCATACCGTATGAAAAGTGCCAATTATTACGCATCGAGGCGTGTGTCCTCCGGCTAGGTACACCAAGACAGCCAGACATTGACCCAACCCTACCCAGGTTGCCGGGCTTTGTTGCCAGTGTCTGCGACTCTCACGTCACGTATTTGCCAATACGTGATCTTTTCGTTCTAGACGAAGGATTTATTTTAAATTGTAAATTTGAAACTTATCCGAAGACACTACCAACATCATTTCAAATTGTTTTCCTCAAATTATGCTCATCACTGAACATAAAGTTAATAGAACTGGGCTGGGAATAGAAATTGAAAACTTAAAATTCTATTTTCTACTATTTTTGCCCTCTAGAGTTAAGATAGAGCCCGTTAAGATAGAGCCCGTTTCCAGATTCATACTAGAAAATATGAATATTTATATTCTAAATAGTTACTACAAGCAGAAACAAAGATATAATAACGCCAAAACTGCTGATGAGCAATAATTCCAACATTTTAACGGTAATACAGATACTCAAGGTAATACAATGACTAAACGAATATTATGTTCTAGAATTCGTGTAGGGAAACCCCAAGGTGGACTACCACCTGGGATGTGGAGCAAAATCTTAACAGGACAATCCAGGAGGTATTTAGCAAACAGACAAATGTACTTTAGAGCTAGAAATAGACGCAGTACCAGTACTGGAAGAAGATTTAAACGCCGCTAAACTGAATCTCAATTTAACCTAATATGGGTCAATTATATTGCAAAACTTATCTGGAAATGTTAACTGCATCCTAGATACTAAATGTTTCTTTCTATAAGCTATGTTTCCTATATTGTTTATTTTATATTGTTTATTTAATATTATGTTTAAAATGTCTGCTACAATATTATATTCACATTTATTGTCTAAGCTCGGAGGCTCCTCAACAGACCTATAAGTTCCCTCTAGTACTGGTAACTGGTTCGTAGCTGGTGAAATCACTACTTACTAGGGTACCACCCCCTCTAGTACTGGTAACTGGTTCGTAGCTGGTGAAATCACTACTTACTAGGGTACCACCCCTACTTACTTTGCTAACCCTAAGCAATGCATTTCATCATTTCGTTTTTTGTATGAAATGTCCGCAAAAAGGGTCAATCGCCACCACATCGTTTACCCTGAACTAGTGAATTGGGTCACCATAAAAGGGCTAGTTACATGGGTACCCATGCCAGGGCTAGTTACATGGGTACCCATGAAAGGGCTAGTTACATGAGTACCCATGCCAGGGCTAGTTATATGAGTACCCATGCCAGGGGTGGTGATTTGAGTACCCATGCCAGGNCGGTGGCTCGGCGTTCGCTTACCATAGGGTCAGTCAAGTAAGTACCCATGTAAGGACTAGTGCTAGCCTTCGAACATCGAGGAAGAGCAGAAAGCATAAACGAAAAGAAACGGTACTTCCATAACAATTGTTTTTGTAAACTAGGAAAGAAACAGCGACAGAAAGCGAAGATTGTTTTGCTCCTTTGCTATGCACTATTTGCAAAAAAACAAAAATAAATGTGATGATAGAACCGATTTTTTTTCGTTTATGTTTTCTGTTGCTCGGTGGTTCGGCGTTCGCTTACCATAGGGTCAGTCAAGTAAGTACCCATGTAAGGACTAGTGGGGAAGGTAGTTCAACTACGGTCAATCGCCACCTCCAGTACTACAGGGTTATAATACGATAGACAGACGGTAACTCCCGGCTGTGGGAATAGCATTTCATTTGCTAGCAAAATCACTTCCGAGTTAACTATTCTACTATTAACTGAACTTCGATTGGTCATTCTAATCCACCGATGTCAGATTATGATGGTTTATGACGCAGTTCCTGCCATTCCGCCTGCATCGCAGAATTGATGAGTCGAACTCACGTGATTTCTCGAATTTATTATACAATAACAACAATAGCACACTTAACAGCTATTTCCCAGCTAGTTAGGGAACTCGTTTGGTAATTACTTGAGAAAGTCTTTCGGCGGACGCTGCGAGAAGAGCAGGCGTGCCAGCTGCGCTTGCTGCTGGGCGCAGAGGCTGCTCGAAGGCTGGTCCACGGCCGACTCGGGCGTCACGGACTGACGGACGAGCTCCCTGAGGCTGGCCGAGATCTTGGCAGTGCGGAAGCGCGCCTCGTGCTTGCGCTGGCGGCAGTCGACAAAGCGTTGCGATTGCTGCCGCTTGCGCTGGATGTCGTGCTGCAGTTGCTCCCGCTTCAGGCGCTCCGATAGCTGGCGCTCGCGCCAGTGCTCCTCGTGATGGAGCTGCTCGAGCTGGTTGTCGTGCTGGAGCCGCTTCAAGTAGCTCTCTAGCAGCTGCGAGCGCAGCTGATCCGCACGGCGCAGTCGCTGCGTGAGCCGCATGCACGTGTCACGCTTGCGCAGCGTCTCGTCCAGCTGCTGCTCCTCCTGCTGCAGACTGACCGCCTCGCTGCGACGCGACTCCTCGCAGCGTCGCTGGCAGAGCGTCAAGTCGCGCTCCAGGCGCATCGCCGCCAAGCGCTGCTTGGCCGCCGCATCCTTGGCGTCCAAGGCGCCGCGCAGCCGCCGCAGCTCGGCCAGATCGCGCTCGGCCAGCGCCTGCAGCCGCGCCTTGGTCAGCAGGTAGTCCTGGAACTGTTTGTCGTGCACGGCCCGCTTATACTCCTCCAGCTGCTCGCACTTGAGCAGCTGTCGCTCCAGCCGCTCGTTCTCCCAGTATTTGCGGGCTAGCCACGCGTGCTCC